CCCCCAGAAATGGCTTCTCCTCTGTTCACTGTGAGAGCACTTCTTTGTTAATTCCACTGATTCCATATCTGCCAGTAGGTTTTCTCAGGAAGAATCCAGGTCTCAAAACTAGGTTCCAAGCAAAGCACTCTGCATATATGAAGAGCTGTCCACCTGAAAGCTTGTTCCAACCACACCACATCCCAGAGCAGCACTGGTGATGAACCACACACTGGGAAGCCATGAACCTGGGCTGCAGTAGCCAAGTGCCAGGGCCCGAACCACAGGCCCAAGTCAGGGCTGACTTAGAGCTGAATACGGCTCTGCCTTTGTAGAAGTAACAGAAATCACGTGCAATTGCTTAGGCCAACCTGCATGTAGGTTCATAAAATTGTGGCTCATAAAATTGTGACTTTTGCAAGCTCTCGTGCAAGCGTTCTTGACCCTGAAGGGAACTTTCCCATCCAAAGCCAGGGTTCCAGATAAGGAAAGAACACACCAGATGCTACCACTCACACAGAAAAGGCAAGTTTTGCTGACTTGGTCCTATGAAAGCCGGACCCTCTTCCTGTGATTCTGGAAACCTCACTAGTGGGTGGACACCACCTGAGACCTTCCAATTGCAGGAAGGTTCTCAAAGTCCTCACGGCAACACACACTCCCCCGTGACYGTGTGTCTGGATGATGGTAACGTACTTAGGCAACTGGTGAGGCATCTTTTTGTTAATCACTATTCTCTTTCTTGTACAGTAATGGTTAAGTGCATTACCTTGCTTATTTTGTCTGCTGTTAAAACCCAGCACGTAGTAAGCTTAYTGCTTTGTTAGATGTACCATTTCATTTCTGTATTATTTGATATTAACAGTAAACATGACCRCTCATTTCCATCAGTGTCTAGTTCTTTCTGTCGCCCTCCTTGTCAACTGGCAAAACCACCAGCCTTGCGTTGCCATCACATTAGCCCTGGCCACATACACAGCAGTATCATCTCAGCTCGACTAGCACATGGCTATTAGGAATAAAAGCTGGTTGAGGGACTGCTCCTCCTTTGCAAGAGGCAGCAGGAGGGCACAGCGAGCAGGAGCCCAGCACTGCACAGCTGCCTTGCCAAGCTGTGGCTCAGCACCCACTACCCCAGGCACATTCAAARGAATAGGCCAGGGAATCCAGCCTGAAGATTTAGGAACAAAAAATACATATTTATTAAATTCCCCTATGCTTTTCTTAACAATAACATTTGTACTGCAGCATTGAGTGGGTGCCTGGCTGCAGAGTCGAGGTCGCTGGCTGAAACAGCAACCCAACCAGATCGTTACCACCCAAAGTGGCCGTGGGGCTGAGCCCCACACTGCCAGCTGGGTGCACAGGCCCTGCCATGCACCCGTATTAAACACGGATGCATTTTAACGGGCACAGCCCAAACAGCACCTGGCCAGGCACAAGCACCTCTCATTTGAGTTACTTCATGTCACCACTGCAGGATTTCTTGAAGTCAGGTTTCTCTTTCCTCTTGCTGCTGAGGACGCAGGCTGCTGTGTGCATAGGTATGGGCAGGTCTGCTCTTCTCTGTTCATGCTTATTTTTCATGTAGAATACGCTTTCTGGGTACAGGAAGGTCTCTGATAGTTAGATATCATAAAGCAGAACAAATACTAGGACATAAATTCAGCAAAATGCAGCATGTTGTAAGCATGTTTGATAACCAAATTCAAAATATTATTAAAACTAAAATTGATGCACTTTGTGGTAATCATACAAAGTGTCCTTATTTCCTGTCTGCTRCAGACAGAGCATGAATAAATAGTCTGCTTTCAATTGCTCTCAGTCATGAAACTAAAAAAAAACCCTAAAGAATATGCAAGTCAACAYTAAAAGGTCTGCTTATTTTTTTGAGAAATTTTACTGGTGTGTTTCACAGCCTCACACGAAAGCTGGCTATTTTATATCAGCTCTTTTCAAACATGACAAATACAATCAACCCCCCTGGCTGTGATGGAGAGGGGGAATTGGCTTGGATACTAGTGAAAAAAAAATGGAGTTAATTGTATAAATGAAATTAAGGTGTTGCTAAGTGTGGTCTCTATTTCCTTTGTAAAAGATAAGCCAGGAAAGCAAAAAAACAGGAGATAAAGAGTTTATTAACCATTATCAAAACCTCTTTCTACAGCCTTTATTCTTTCCTATAGAACATGCTCACTTTATATATGGGACTTAGAAGTCCCTGGATTCCTTCCTTATGAAGACAAATAGCACAGTGTCGATTCCTGTGCTTCTAAGAATCAGTGAATTCTGCTGCCTCGTTTGCTGATACTAGGCAAGACCTGAGAAATATTATCCAATATTGTGTTTCTGGATATAAAAATGAGAATCTTCTCCAAAAATTTCAAAACATTACCTGAACTAATATTATTAAGGCAGCTTACAAAACATTAGAAACTCAAACATACGTGGAAGCTGATTACATTTCCTAGAAATGAACTTTCTTATCCGATTTTATATATATATACACACACATATATATAAAGGCTTACAGTATGAGACACATATATGAGACAGATGTAGCTAAGATTTTTGCCCAAGTACCATTTTCATTAGCTCCCTACAACATCCCAACAGTATCACTTTTATATGGGTAGTAAATGAAACAAAAGTCTGTTGCTTAAGCAACTCTATGTATATGTGTGTGCTTGTGTACAAACACCTAAGGAGATGCATAAAGCCCATTCAGAAGCTAAACAAACACCTATTATTGTGTTTTCCCTGCAGTGCCTTAGAATGAATCTATTCAGTTAAATACATGTTAATACAGGGGATTTAACATAAAAAGCACATTACTGGTGATKACTACTGTAGAGACCCTGGAAATAGAAACACAAGGCCAGGGTAAGCTCTACCTTCCCATTCCTTAGCTCTCCATAGGAACAGACAGAGCATCCACGTCTCACCCTGCAAGGTAACTCTGCACCAACGGGGCCCCATCCTGCTCAAACCAAACACGGTGCAGAACCCACTTGGCTTCTCGTGCTATTCCCAGGAGCTCTGACAAAGCAGGGACAACATCTGACAGGTATAATAAACACACCTCTCACTGCTCCTACACGAAATACACACCTTGTAAATCCAGCCAACTTTCCACTAGAGAAATAGCTCYTGCTGAATTGCTTCAAAATGACAACGTAGGGCCTGAAAGTCTCCAGGGAGGCAGCAGCTCAGGCAGCCCCTATTCATAGGCTTTAATTTAACCCCCTTTTACTCCCCTTGCTCACTAAGGTAGCCTGACAAGAGACCCTGCTGGGACGACACCTCCGACAGCTCTGGCTTGAGCCTCCGGCCGCTTCCTCGTGTTCTCCAGACAGCCAACAGCAAGGGTGGGTTTTTAGCTGGAAAAATCCCTGCTTGCTGGGCTGAGACCACCGACTCATTTCACACAGGTCAGACAAGGAGATGGTAACTTTTGGCAGCTGCCCCCTTCAACGAGGTTTGAGCTACAGACCTAGATGTGAAAGGCTCTGTAATAAATTACCAATCTCCTGAGCCATCCAGTTAACAGTTTGCGTTGATTTTTTTTTCCACTCAAATGTATTTATACTTTTAGTGCTGAAGTTGTGAAATGTTCTGAAACTGCAGGAAGTAAAATGCCAGAAAAATTCAGATTCTTGATGGCTGGCCATTTGCTTTCTGTATACCTCCTAAAAATATGCTGAAGATCACTCTTGCAGGCCTAAAGTTAAACACTATATTTGGATTTTTAAAAAATAACTGAATTGTGACATGCAGACTAAGTATTTCCACATTACATGTTCTGCTCTGCTATTTCACGAGCCATGAAAAAGCCACCACAAACTCTTAGGCTTTTTCTTCCTGCGTGCTGAAACTTCTAATCAATTTGTAAAACCAGGAGCAAAATATAAGCAATATCCATACAAATACTTTAATAAAACAACGTTTCCCTGTATTCAGTTCTGAAAAATATCATTATTCATTGGAGATATAATCCTTTTTCAGTTGATTTAAACAGAGACTGGCACTCTAAAAATATTAGGCATGAAAGCAGAAGACACAACAAGGCATTCACTACCATTCAAGAAACAGCATTAGAGATACTTCAAAGGCAAAAGTAACCCCGGAAAAGTCATAAGGAAGCCAGATTTAATGCRCCCAGTATAAAATTGCATTGGTAATATTGATTTATGGGAGTGACTGGTCAGATGGACAATACTCTCATATTAGTGAAATTTCAGTATTCAGAAGCATCATAAAAAGCATCTTTCTCAGAAGTGAATAACAAAACACTATTAAAGAATAAGAGCTATGGAGAACTGAATCATGAAAATCGCCTGAATTTAAGAAGGGAGACTGAATGATACTCTATGCAAAGAAAATTATGGGCATATTTCAGAGGTGGATATGTAACAACTGGAGAGATTTGCCAATTTAAAATATTTAGGACAATCTGCTTGTTAGGAAACACTACCTCCAGCACTAAAGGCTTTGCTTCCCCTGTAGCTGGATAAACGCATCTTTATTCACAGAAGTCCTTGAGAGTTGGCAGGGTTGTATTTGTGATGGATGAGAATTATTATAAGAAGATAATGGCCTTCGAAGGAGTTACCTTCTTAAATGAAACTTGAGTTTGGGGAATATTTTCTTTTATGTCCAAAGCTGCTTGTGGCCAATCATCCTCCTTCCCACCTGCACACAAGCAATGTTTAGGAATTTCTGCAGTCATGCTAGCAGAGGCATATTCTGTACCTTGACATGCCTGTTATTTAAATAACCACTAAAACAGTGTATTTAGAAAAATCAGAAAAGAACAGCCACCTGATTTATTTCACTCTCTAAACAGACCAGAGCAGACTTCAAATTTGTTGCAATCTACTAATCAAGGCTGTCTGCACTAGAAAATATATTTATTTATTAATACACACCCACAGGTTTTTGTTTCCCACAGATTAACATATATAAAAATAATCCCTGCCCTCCGTCTTCCCAGTGCTAAAACCCATTGCAGATCAACTTACCAAATCCCTGTGTAACACCCAGTTAGCATGCAGGTAGTGAATGCCATCTAGGATCTGATATAACAGGGACTTCACCATTCCCCGAGGTAACTGAACTGGTTTCTTGTTTGCTTTAGAAGCCCTGTGGAATTTGATTATATGCTGTAAAGGGGAAAAAAAAAAAAAGAAACCAAAATAAAAAAAATGTAATTTTTGGTCTACAGTATTACATAAAATATTGCCAGTGATTCCTTACATGGAATTTTTGAGCCTTTCCAACTTTTCATTCATTTTCAAAATAAGAAACATGCAGCTCAAGTACTACAGCAATAGCAGTATGCTAAGTAAAATGTCCACTGTCCTGGGAATTCTCTCCAGAAAATAAAAAGACAAGCTGATATTCTGCACATCAACATAATATAAAATTACCCACCTCCCACATCATTTTACTTCTAGGTTTCTATCTACTGTCATGACACTGTCATGTTCAATGTCTAATGTCAGAAAGAGAAATTCTCACATCAAACTCCTAGGACATCTAAGCTTTCAAGTTAAGCAGGCAATAAATGAGCTGCTGTTGCACTGTTCCCTTAAAAATACTGCTCTTGAATCAGAAGCTATTGATAGAGCGAGGTTGTAACACTGTCCATCTGAAGGTCAGCCACCAAGCCAGGACTGCAAGAACTTTAACAGTTATGACCACACATGCAGGCAATGATGTCCAGCAGCAATGAGGAGTCCAAAAGATTTTTATGTCATCTTAAAACCCAAATCCTGCAAGTTCTGGCATCCGAATGCCACCAGCTTCAACAGCATCAGCTTCAACAGCATCAGTGACAGTAACTGTTTTCATATAGAATAAACCTTTCACCAATTCACTTTTCTCTTTTCATACTGTTTTGCACTCGGGTGATCGTCAGTATAGCCCTGTTCTTGTGCAACCAAAGCTCARCACCCAACTGCTGGCTCCTTTTACCTCTACGCTGCTTCCTGCATCCCTGAACTTTCACAGGTGCCAGTTMGGTACCCAACTACCGAAATCCCTTTGGGAAATTGCCTTCTCCGCTCCCATTGCGGCCGAGCTCCATGCAAACTGTCCCTCTTTGCTTCAGGTGTTGAGCCTGGCTGCAAGAGGGAAGTCCAGCCCTGCTCTGACCAAGGCAGAAACACAGCTGCCAGGAGGAGAGATGATGRTGGAAGAAGCAAGAGCCCCTTCAGGCTTCAACAGCCCAGGACAAGCCCTCCCCAGCCTGGGCCACAAGCTCGTGGTCCTGACTTGGGTTGGCCACCGACTCCAAGGCCAACATTCCTCCTGGCAGTGACCAAAGGGAAGAGAGCCTTGAGCAGTGAGAAAGCAAAGCAGTGCAGAGGGAGAGATGGGTGGGTGTCCTTCAATCTTTCCTTCCCTAATATAATTTGTACCCTCTGGTTTGGTTTGARAACCACAGTATGGCCACCACTGCAGGACTTGACCTGAAGGGGGACATCTTGGGTATGACAGGGTACAAATAATCACTGGGGACAGGCTGCTTTCATCCAGATATAGTCAGCAACCAGGAACTGGCACAGCTGAGGACTAGTGAAGTTCATACAGGTACCTGCACACACACATAACGATCCAACCTGAGTGTCTTTCATCAGTGAGACACATAAGCCTGTGTTTCATTAGCCAAAGGGCTTCTGCAGTAACCTTGGAAAAGTATCAAGTACTGCATGAAGTTATCAATGCAAACAAGGGAAGGTTGCTACTAGTCACAATCCTTCAGGTAAATAAAATACCTAATAGTGTAATTTGAAAAACAAACCAAAACTCAAAAGAAACTATTCAGATGTTCCTGAACTCTACTAGTTTGGCAGTCATAAATACAGAGGAAGCAATGAAAAGGTGAATGTCTTTGGTTTCTCTCTACAGAGAACTTCACTTCCCTCAAGTCATTTCTTTTTATATCAAGAGCATCTCAAGTTTCAGCTACTTGATACCAAACTAAAATTTTAAGAGTTAGTGAAATCTCAGTATCATCTTTCAGAAGTTCCAAAATACTGAATGGAAGAAAATTTTCCCTACACACTAATTCTAGCTCAGCAAACACTCCTGAACTATCACCAACAGCAAGTGGCAGGGCTTCCAAAATGAGTTACTTCTTATTTGGTTCATATTTCTTATCTCTCTGTACARGTGTAGGCAAAAAGTCAAGAATTCTGATATTTAAGTTAGGTATATCAAAAATTTCATCTTAATAGACACTTGTTGCACCCTTTGATTTGCATCACCTTGATACCTTAAAAAATATTACAATACCTTTTTTTTCCATTTGACAGCAATGCTTAAAATCTACATCAGATTTATTTGAGAGACACAAACGGTTTTTACTGAACTCAAACTTGAATATAATTTCAGATTTTTAATACCTTTTTTAACAGGTTCAGACAGATGTTAAGATTACAAATATTAAGACCAGGAAAGGRGTTCATCTCTTTAAAATATTTTACTTAGCTTGCAATACATTTAAATTTAAATCTGTATTGCCTAATTAGGAGCAAATGGATTCTCTCCTAAATAAATGAAATCTCRGATGAAGTGAATAAGAAGCTCTCCCTGCTGAAATAAATGAATTTCAATTGTGTTCTGTGGCATTATTCTCATTTATTTATGGATGACATGAAATGCAGCTAAGCCTCCAAACTATCCTACTCTGCCAAAAAAATGCCATTTTTTAAAAGGAAATCCACCTGCATAATCAATAAAGTTTTCTTGCACTCCATACTTTGGTGAAGGGTTATAGTTACATTTATTTAAATATATCTTTAGCTTCTGAAAGCTGAATGCAGATCTTTAGCTTCAGAAACAGGTCAGACCACCTTTGCAGCTTGCTCATTCAACACTTCCACTGTCYTTTCCCTTCAGCAGCAGAAAGGTGGCCAACAAACACTCACAGCCAGAAGTTTTACTGAGTTAACCGATGTTAACTCATCCCTTTCCTCCAGCTGAAGCTCAGTGCCTGTCCCCACGGCCAGTTCTGCTTACCCAGAGATCGTGCTCCGCGTAGTCGAAGAGCAGCCACACTTTCCTGTCCGCATGAGACAGAAACACTTTCTGCAGGGAAATCACATTCGGGTGCTTCAGCTCCCGCAGCAACTGCAAAACAAGGAAAGCCCATCAGCATTGTAACTCGGCATCCAGAACTGTGACAGAGCTGGACWGAGGAATTTTAAAGTCTTTCCCACAGATTTATACAAACAAAAGCTGAAAGTTGCAATTCAAAGAAAACAGCACATACTTTCACTCTTTTTTAATGAAAGAACTAGTCATTAGCTTGAAGTTAACAACTAAAGTAAGTGATGACTCCCTTAGGGTATTCRTTTACTTTTAGTTTCATGAAAGTTAACATCTAAGTAATCCTCAGTATTACACAGAATCACAAAGACTCCATAAAAGGCCAGCTGTTGCCATCTGCCTTTCCCCATAGGATCTGATCTCTGAAAAAGCTATTTGGGACAGCCTGGCTCCTAATGACCCGAACCTCCTCCACTTTGGAGTCAGTCATTCAAGGCTCAATGGGACCRACTCATTCAGCACAACACACGGCACTCGGCTCAGGTCAGCTAAGATTTGGTTCATAAGATGCACTCAACTGATCTTAAAAGCTCCACGTTACCAAAAGAAGGTCCCAGCTCTTGCCTCAACATATCCCACACCAGCTACAGCGCTCACAACCATGAAACAGCTCAGCAGAAAATTACCCCAGACATACAGACCTAAAAGGGATGTTTTTCAGCTGAGTTGCTGACCTGAACTCACTTATGGAACTTATTTTCCCATTACAGAAAAGCAGGAGCAAGATAATTAGTTCCTTTTCATTGACACTAGTCATGTACAACAACATTTGAGCCACTACTGAGAGTGAAGTGACAGTGGCCATGAGAATTGCTTTTGCTTCCTTCTTTTCTATGTATTTTAAAAGCTCTACCAACTCCCCAGTCCTGAGCAACACCCTCCAGGTGGCATTCCTCAGGCAGGAAAGGGGCCTAGGCCCAGCCAACTGTTATCCTAAGTGCAAGATGAAACAGAAAGAGGACTGGGAAGGCAAGGAAAGCTCACGAGGAAGCACAGAAGGGCACAGTTCCACATTCAGCATGTTAAACTTTTTAATAATCTTAACTTTTCTAAGAGCATTGCATAGATAAATTCTAAGGAGGAATGTAAAAGAACAAGTCTGGAATCTGATAGACCCCTATAATTCCTACAAAACTAAGGGTCCAAAACGTAAGGATCAGATAAAATTGGAAGGCAAAGGCCTAAGTCAGAGTGCATGGACACTCCAGCTCATGTGTATCCAGCCACAACAGCCCATCCCCAGGTGAAAGGGGCARATAAAAGGCCCAAGGCTCCAGACACCAACGCAGCCCCTTCCTGCCCCCTTTAGCCTTTGCTGCAGCTCTTCCCACCTTCCAACGCAGCCGTCTCCCGYTGCCGAGGGGGAGACACGAGCGCTGAGACACAACAGCGGCTCCGGCAGAGGCGAAGCACCGCGAGGCCTGTGCCCCTCCAGCCACGTCCCACGGGCCTTGCCAAGCAGACGAGCTGCCCTGTGTCCAGCAGCTGACAGGATCCAGTGAGGGAAAAGCAAAGTGGGATGAGCGCAGCATGAAGGGCAGCGAGATGCCTGTTCCTGATACAGGCCGCTTCTCGGCCTAGCACATTATTTACCTCTCACATCACGGATGATGGGGTCTCATCACAAGCCTCCACATACATGACTGCTTTAAACTCATGACCTTCACAYGTTTCCACCAGAGCTCTCCACTACACACACTTCTCCGAAGCAAGGACACTACGCTCAATGGACACATTCAGTACGCTGCATTCTCAACATCCTGCAAATTTCTAGCATTACTGCAAGTGTCACTCCAGCTCCACCCCTCATGCTTGCTGCTCTATATTGTCCTCAAGGAATGGGTCYCTTCAGAGGGACCTGGACAGGCTGGAAAGTTGGGCAGAGAGGAACCTCATGAGGTTCAACGGGTGCAGGGTCCTGCACCTGGGSAGGAATAACCCCAGACACCAGGACAGATTAGGGCTCRACCTGCTGGAGAGCAGCTCCACAGAGAGGGACCTGGGAGTCCTGGTGGACACCAAGTTAACCATKAGKCAGCAGTGCCCTCATGGCCAAGAAGGCCAATGGGATCCTGGCTGCATCAGGMGGATGTTGCCAGCAGGTCAAGKGAGGGGATCCTGCCCCTCTGCTCAGCTCTGGTGAGGCCGCACCTGGAGTATTGGGGGCAGTTCCGGGCTTCCCAAGACAAGAGAGATGTGGAGCTTCTAGAGAGGGTCCAACAGAGAGGGACAAAGATGATTAAGGGACTGGAGCATCAGTCTCCTCTCATACGAGGAGAGACTGAGTTGGGCCTGTTTTCTCTGGAGAAGAGAARGCTGAGAGGGGATCTGATCAATATGTATAAGTACCTGAAAGGAAGATGTACAGAGGATAGAGCCAAGCTCTTCTCAGTGCCACTGACAGGACAAGGGGCAATGGGTACAAGCTGAAACACAGGCAGTTCCATCTCCATGTAAGGAGTAACTTCTTTAACGTGAGGGTGCCAGAGCCCTGACACAGGCTGCCCAGGGAGGCTGTGGAGTCTCCTGCTCTGGAGATCTTCCAAACCCGCCTGGCTGCCACSCTGTGCCCYGTGCTCTGGGTATCCCTGCTGGAGCAGGGGGTTGGACTAGAGGATCTCCAGAGGTCCCTTCCAATATCAACCAGTCTGTGATTCCCTGTCTTGCCCACCACCGTGCTTACCCTACAACCAGGTTTGCATGATCTTGGTCAGGCAGCCTTTTCCAGGCACCATGTTAGGACGCAATTTCTCTAAAGGCCCTTCGCAAGATTTTAGCCACTTCAGACAAGGCCATTCTCTGCTCCCATTTGTCGATCTGATGACAAAAATTCAAAATCTCATCATCATCTCATCCGTTCAAAGGGCTCACATCAATTCCACCAAGTGATCCAGCCATGAACAGACCCAATATTAATAGCCAAGCCATAGCTTGAGGCTTAATAGGCAAAAACAGCACTGGGAAAAGAAACCAGACTGTGACGGCTGATGGTGACAGAAAAGGTCATTTTCAGAGCAAAAGAACACAAAGCCTTAGTCATCAAGGAACAAATTATGAAATACCAGTGCAACAAGCCCTAAAAGAGGTAAGCTGAATTTGAGCTCTAGAAAGGCTCTATCCTAATACTCCGCATAACTGCAGCCAGTTCAAGGAAGATCAATTCCAGCTACAACAGAGCAAAGAGAGCCCAAGTCTGCAGTGAGCAAAATGAGGAGCGTGTTACATAAAGGGAAGCTAAAAGGCAGGCCAAGATTTTTATAAAGGGCCCAAACAGAGAGAGGGAAAAAAACAAAACAAATATCCACCTCCTAAGCAAACCCTGCTTATTAAAGGAAAAGTTATAAATGAAAAAGGGGAAAAGAGAAGGGTTATTTTATGTAACTGACAATATTACCACAAATACAAATGGGTATGAATTACTCATGATGAATTTTGGCTTTAATGATGGATAGTACTTAAGGTCATTGTTAAAGTAAAATTCAGGAAGTGCCTTCCAGGAGAATTTTTCTTTACGTGACTAATTGGCAGCTTACTAACTTTTTTGAAGATAATACATTTTGCTTGCTTGCAAGAGACAAATTTAGATGACCTAAGAAGCCCTATCCATTCCTATACTCCCATAATACATTTCTTTTAAAAAAATTCTTATTTTTTCTCTCTTGTAGTCGAGTAAAACTACAGTATTTTCCAAGTACTTTAAACTCTCCCTTTTAACTAAGAACAACAAATCCTCATTACGCGAGTCCTTGAATCCCTGGTTGGTTTGTCTGCGATCCATTAGACTCAAGATTTCTTTTTCTTTTGCAGTTTTTTTTTTGGCAGTTTTATATTGGCACAGATGAGATACTCCACAGTACTGAAAAACAAGGTACCTGCTGCAAACACATGCTGTTTTTTTCCAAAAACGGTGGCAAGTGGAAGCTTGCAAACACAAAGCAACACAACAGGTTATAATAGGCCCCACTCTGGGCACTTATTATGAAGCTGACAGTACAGGTTCAGAGCTCCATTTCCTCAGATATACAACCGTGTGAAATGGTCGCTTTACTGCATTTTTTTTCTTACATATTTAAATTTGAAGTCTTCAATGCTGTAAAACAGCAGCCTGAAAACACAACGTCAAGAARAACAAAAATTGCATATTTCTGTTTTAACTTCTATGGTTCTCAAATAAGTCTTATATGATCACACATACAAGTTAAGACGTTTTGGCTTTTTCCATACAAACATATACGCAGTATTAAAGATAATGTATGCAATGAAGTTAACGTATATTCTCTGAAAGCAGCCAAGTAGATGTGAAACTCACGTAGGTGGCTCTGGACACCATGCTACACAAATTCTGTGGCTCACACAAAAAAACGGCATGTCTTCAGGTTTCAGTTTCTAAGATTTGTTTGGTATCTTTATCCCACTTTTACAGACCAGAAACAATACTAGCCTTCCTTTGTACAATACAGCCCCTCAATGTTTGTAGCCCTGGGGCTTAGCTTCAGAAAGTAATGAACACAGTCACAAACTATATATATAATGTGTGTGTGTGTGTGTGTGTGTATGTATGTATATGTGTGTGTGTGTGAGAATATATATAAAAATACATATATATATACACACATCTTATATACACACACACACACATATACATACGTATATCTTGAGAGGCTGTATCTTACTACTTTCAAGTAACACATACCTTACTACTTTCAAGTCAAAGCATTTGTCATTCACTAGACTGGGTAAAGGAGGCCAAATCAAGCTTTTGTCTTCCTTCATATCTTGCCTCCTCTCACAGTGTGAAGGGCTGCCAACCAAGTACCTTACTTGCCTTCTGGAAAGAGGTCTTTACTCCTCTCAACCAATTCCAGGGTCAGTTTTGTGGGGAAGTAACTGTGTTTTCACTGTTAACGTGGCTGGGCCGTGACTCACAGCCTGAGGAAGCGGCACCCAAACACGGAGCTATGGCAAGACGACAGCACCTGAGTCCTTGCTCAGAAGGGGGATTGAGGCAGAGCACGTGGCGTCAGCCCCACGGCAGCACCAGCCCTCCTGGCACACGATCCTCCTCWGCCAAGGCCGCAGGGACAGCGTCTCCCTTGCTCCTTTCCCAGCTCCCACCGTCCCCACAYATCACGGTGAGCAGCTGTGCGGCCCACGGATGGTTCAGTTCAACCTTCTCAAAACGGACAACATAACAGTTTGGCTTCCCCTGGATAAAGCTGAACYGACCCGCCTGGCCACACGACCGCTACATCCAGCCCAGACTAGAACTAGACTTTGGTGACAACCGCCTGCAATTGTTAGGTTACAAAACCCCCAAACCTAAGAGGGCCCAAACGCCTCTCAGCTAAGTTCTGCAAGGGGCAGGATTCACAACTCCTGCTAAATGTACTGAAAATGTCTGCACGTTGCAACAACCTGTATGTTAAGGACAGTTATTCGATCAGCATCGTTAGTGCAATATTGACTGATTACACTAATAAATCAATATACATAAATATATTTTTAAAAACTGTTATAAGAGAGTAATAGATGGGCTCTTGAAAACTAGATCTGTGCAGGAAGTAATGAATGTTAGAAGTCTCCTAGAAACCTGAGTTTGAACTCGGCGTTGACTTAGCTGTTTCAGCTCAGGTCTGCCCCAGTTCACAGCTCTTTCCTGTCCCTGAGATAATTCAATTAGTATTTTACTTTCCTGCAGAATTGCAAGTGCTTTTTGGCTCAGAAAACTGCATCAAATACACATCCTAGAAGAGTAGGCTAGGGACATTTTTGAGCAAGAGTTACTCAGTAGTTCAAAACTGTAGTCGGTCTTAAGCGTAAGGCTTAAGCAAGCAGTGGAGAGCTGTCAAGAGCCGACAGCTTCCCTCTGTGCTCCATGAAACTGTGTCCTTCCCAAATACTCACAAGGTACAATATGGGCACCCCAACTCCCGAGAATGGGGAAGAGCTATTTCCCCCATTTCTCTCTCTGAAAGCTACCATGCTCACGAAGTGCATTCGGTCAGAGCCAGGATGGAAGCCTTATTGCCATGAGGTCTGGCATTTAGCCCTGAAATTTATGAAAACAAATATGAAATTTATGAAAACAAATTTATGAAAATAAATTTATGAAACAATGAAAATAAGTAGTTTTATTAGATGTACAGATTACATTTTAGAGCCCACAGAGCCGATTAACTTTACTGGCATTCCCATACACGCCTTAATCACACGTACACGATCAATATAAATAGCACAGCTATTATCCTCAACTCGACCCTGCTCCTTATGAGGTTGCTGTCTTTTAAATATTAAATAAAAAGTATTTCTTCCATTTCTGAATTAATGGAATTAAAAACCTAAGAACAAAGCACTTTTTGAAGAGGAAAAAAAGCACCTTTTTATCCAAAAAGCAACATCAGAAGAACATTAGGGAAAGAGATTCAGACACTCAAATTCTCTGCTGAATTATTAATTTGACCGCAGGAAAATTCTGCCACATCACAGTGGAAACAAAGTCAACAACAAACAGCTCAAAGTGCTGTTTTAACCTGCAAGGCTGTTTCCTTATGCTCTCCTCGCTGCCCACTCGGACGCTTCCACTTGTAGAGCTCGTGCTCACAGAATCACAGACTGGTTGAGGTTGGAAGGGACCTCTAGRGATCAYCCAGTCCAAMCCCCYGCTCCAGCAGGGACACCCAGAGCACGGGGCACAGGGTGGCAGCCAGRCGGCTTTGGAAGATCTCCAGAGAAGGAGACTCCACAGCCTCCCTGGGCAGCCTCTTCCAGGGCTCTGKCACCCTCACAGGRAAGAAGTTCCGCCTCMCATGCAGGTGGAACTTGCAGGGTTCCAAGGGCCCATGGGCTCAGGGACAACCTCCCCGCTCGCTACTGCTCCTGTATCATTGCAGGCGCCCTGGCTGCCTAAGAGCAGCATCTCCCAACAGTCCTCGAGCCGGTCAAGGTGGCCGCATCCTTCCTGAGTGTCTTCCAGGCTCACGCCTTCCCTGGACATGAATTGTTCAAGGATCAACCCAAGAGCAGCAAGAGGCACTTCCTTGATACCTTGGAGAAGCCTCTCCAAGCCCAATTACAACAGACTCCTTAGAATTCTCTATGGAAATGCAGCAAAGACACAGGAAAAACATCTTCCTAAATCCCTCCGAAGTGGTAACTGACCCTTTCCAAAAACACTTATCCTGAAGAAGTCCCAGTATTCGCAAAATTTCAGTCCAAATGGTTGGTATTTTCCAAGTTCAAGTCCCTGGTTTTAGCTTCTTCAGTTCAGAGTGTGGATGTCTGACAYGAGCCTTGATTTTCAGACCAACAAGATGAGTTTGTCTCCAAAAACAGTCCCTTTCTTCCCCTCATTCATTGCCAGGACTAGCTGGTCTGAAGTCAGAAGCCAAGGGGAAGTTGGCAAAGGAGAAAACTATTATTCACTCCAATCACTAAAAACGAAGCAGAGGGATCTCTAGTATTTCAAAGTCTGGAAGAAAATGGACTAAAACTAATCACTTTCTTCCTCATACACAGCTTATGTGCATTTCCTTTCAGTAATTCATTTCAGATGAAACATCAAGAGAAATAAATGCAAGCATCAGAACAACATAAGCACATACAAGAGTTTTAAGCAACAAAAAGGCTCCTCTTGCCACTTAGTTCCAGCTAAGCTGCTTTGCAAGCTTGTTACAAACCACAACCAGAAGAACATGCATCATTCACGAGTTTTTAATAATAAGGAACATATAAAAAGAACCCAGGCTAACCTAAGAAATTGTCTGAACAATATTTATGGGTATATTACAGCTTCCCAGCTAATAACAACGGTAGGTTAGTTCAAAGTCTCCATTTAAATAGAAGCTGGCGTGTTTTAATTATGAACCTGTAAGAACTAATGTTTCTAGGAAAATAACTAATGTCCTAATGCAAAAGTCAGATCAAATAAGTTTAAATCATTGCCTCTAACCRCGTGTTTGAATTACTGTAGTTAAAACTAATCTGCCCTCAGGTAGGTAGTAAATCGTAACCTGAAAACACTGTCAGTTTGATGGCAAATCAAGCAGGTGCAAAATCTTCTATGACATTTGTACTTATTTTATACCTTCATATTAAAAATACTAAGCCTGTAAGTAGAACAACACAATTTGGCAAACAAACCCAGCATGCACTCAAATCAATACTTTTAATAAATCTGGTTGCTTGTAAAAAGAACTAATGTTACTTACTGCTATTTCTCTGCATGCAGACATAGAAATTCCAGTACCTTCTATTTGCTTTAAAGCATAATCTTTATCATCTTTCCTGTGAAAGAAGAAAAGAAGTTTCTTTTAAAAAAAACAATATACCATGAATTCTGAGTGAGCTCTTCACCATTCACAGAACAGTTTGGAATTAATTCAAATTCTTGCACCTTATTTGCCTTTGTTCTCTACTAATGTAATGGCTGGATAGCAGAGGAATTGAGAGCTCAGCCCACACCACCTTGATAAAACTGGCATACAAACAAGCTGTCATTACACAAAAAGGAATTTTTAGGTTCTTTAAAATGTAATTTTGCCATTTCTTAACATTTCTTTCTATTCCCTTCTCCCCTTTTTTCAGAAGAAACAAAACAAATATTTAGCACACAGCAGGAGGCAGTTTATCCAAACCTGGGATTTCAACAGCTTTTCAAACCACTGAGCTGCAGGTTCACCTTCCCTAGGTGTGCAACTCTGGGACACAACAGCACTTCACCCCATTGTAACAACTTCTTGACTAACCCAACAGCAGCATYATTTTAATACCCCAATCTTTTCTTCCCTGTAGGCCATAAGTGTCCTAAAATTATGTTCCCAGCCAACCAAAAGACCCTACAAGGGAAGTCTCCACCTTCTGAAGACTCCTGAGAAAAGCTGGTTCTGCTTCCATAAGACAAAACACTTGGGAGCAAGAACCTCCTGTACCTTAACCTGTATGCGCCTTACATACATTTAATTAAAACACAAGCCTGCTGTAATTCCAGCCACTGGAACCAAAATCAAGACAACAGACTGAAAAGAGATGAAATAAAATAAAGCAGACACCAAACTCCCATATTCATTTTCCAAAAGCTCAAGCTTTTAAGTGACAGAAACTTCATCCTCCCTTTTTGAAGGTTGGTATCCACAACACTCCTAAGGGACACGGGGTTTCCAAATAATGAGGTCAATATTTGACTTTCTGATCCCTCCAAATTGTGGATTACTTAAGAAGTCTTCCCAGCTTTTTAATTAACCCAATCTCCAGTTCCCAAGGGCCTGAAAAACGTCTCTCAAAGATGCTAAACCTAAATAACCAAAACTACAGGTAAGCATTTAACACACATGTAACCGCCCACTCCACACTCATTAAGGTTTCCTGAAGGCTTTTACTAATTGCAGTAGCACAACCTGCARTGCACTTTCCCTGGTTTAGCTCCACACATTTAACCCCCCAAGTTATGGGGTCCTGTCTGAGGGACTTCTCTTGGGACTCTGAGCAGGAACTGCTCAGAACAAGGTAGGAACAACGTGGAACCATCATTCCACGTACTAATAGTAACAGTAATAACAATAGTAATAATAATAGCAATAATAGTAATAATAGTAATAATAGTAATAATAATCTAAAAAATCTAAAACTAAGACTTTCTGACCTGGAAGAAAAACAGAGCCAGTGCAGACCAAACGCTTGCACAGAGCCTGACAAAAGTGTGAGCAGGAAGCAGCAAGTCCCTGCGTCCCACGTGGAGGGAAACCAGGCCCGGGAAGCCTGGACAGGAGCCCCAGCTGTGGAGCCAAGGCCACCAAGCACTGCAGGAGCCCAACGTGGACAGGGACCTGAAATGTAATTACACAAATTTACATTGAACTTGAACAAACCAAAAGAAAAAAAGTCGTATTTCAGAGACTCGGGTTATTAAGTATTGCAGACTTTACATGTATTACAAACTAAATACCAACTGGTTTAGAATTTCTACTGGCTTTGGAAGCACAACACCATAATATGAAGCATTTATTCTATCTGGAGGAATCAAAAGGAGTAAAAAGCTGCCTGTTGAATATGGAACTTTGTGAAGCTTTAATATTGAAATGCCTGGTATTTCCACTGTTTATTTAAAAGGATACTTTGAGCATATTAGGGGTGGACCTGCTGGAGAGCAGCCCCACAAAGAGGGACCTGGGTGTCATGGTGGACGACAAGTTGACCAYGAGGCAGCAGTGTGCCCTGGTGGCCAAGAAGGCCARYGGGATCCTGGGGTGCATTAAGAAGAGCGTCTCCAGCAGGKCGAGGGAAGTGATCATCCCCCTCTACTCAGCCCTGGTGAGGCCACATCTGGAGTACTGYGTCCAGTTCTGGGCTCCCCAGKACAAGAGGGATGTGGAGCTGCTGGAGAGAGTCCAGCGCAGGGCTACCAGGATGATCAGGGGCCTGGAACATCTGCCCTATGAGCAAAGGCTGAGAGAGCTGGGTCTGTTCAGCCTGGAGAAGAGGAGGCTGAGGGGGGACCTGATCAGCGTGTATAAATACCTCAAGGGAGGCAGTGAGGAGGAGGGGGGCRGCCTCTTTTCAGTGGTGGGCAGGGATAGGACTAGAGGAAATGGCTTCAAACTGAAGCATCGGAAGTTCCACAGGAACTTAAGGAAGCATTTCTTCACTGTGMGGGTGACAAAGCACTGGAACAGGCTGCYCAGAGARGTTGTGGAGTCTCCTTCTTTGGAGATCTTTAAAACCCGCTTGGATGCAGCCCTGTGCCACGTGCTCTAGGTGACCCTGYGTGAGCAGGGGGGTTGGACTCGATGACCTCTGAGGTCCCTTCCAACCTTCGGCATTCTATGATTCTATGATTCTATGATATGCTCAGCAGTCCTACATAATTAGAAAGAAAAGATTTCAGATAAAGATCAGCTAAAAGAAAACAGAAAAAAAAAAGTCCCAATCTGCACTGTGACATTATTGGAATTTCTTTATGAGCATCAGAAGAGTGTTCACCCCTGCAGAATAATTTCAAATTACAAGTGAAGGAAGAGCTAACGTTGGGCTAAAGGGTAGCAGCATTTGAGGCAGCTTCTGTCTTCTTCCCTCCCAAATACTGAAACTAAGCAGTGCAAATGTATGGCTTTAGTGCACCTATAGATTGGAGATCAAAAGAATAACCTAGCAAGAATACCAAGCTATAGAATAGAGCATGAAAGCAAGCCACTGAAAATCGGAACATTAWAGACCCTTATTTGGCCTCTTCACTCTGTGGCATTGTGGTCTTCTGCCCTTGTTTAAGCCAGATTTTGAAATAAATGGAAAAAGCAGCATGGTGTGTACATCACAGCCAGTTAAGTCTGGAGCAAGGAGTAAGCTGGGTCTCTGGAAGAAGAGGGCACACAGAAAATACACGAACAAGCCATAGCCCCATGCAACTTGACACGGGCCCAAGTGGGGAGAGACCAGCCTTAAACAAGACAGGAGGGGCAGCTCGGGGTAGCCATGAGCCTAAACTGCGCCTACAGCTGGGACTTGCATAGCAGATACACCCAGGAAAACCAGGCACAGACGTCCAGGAGAGAACAACCAGGCGTAGATATCCAAGAGGGAATGACCAGACTCTTCCAGTTCCACCCCGAGGACTGTTCAAAGTAGAATAAGGGGCATCTGGGGACACCTGAACACACATTAGTCCAGCCTCAAGTAAAGCTCCTTCTCAAGACTTATGTTCATGACTGCATGTCTTGCAAAATACCTTTAAAGATTTCTCTATTTTGTTAAAAACAGACCAAAAAAATGAAAAACAAGCAGTTGTGAGGATAATATAAGACTACATCCAAATGCTTCCTAAGGTAAAGGTAAGGTAAAGTAAAAGGAAGCCTTGACAGCTAGTTAGTCTTACTTGCATTTTGAATCAGCAGATATCTTTRCCTATTTAAAACACACTTCGTGCTAGTTTTACTTTCTAGAAATGTTCTGGCAGGCATCTTCTCCCTTAAAGGGAACGGGCTATAAAGGGAGAATGAACAGTAAATACTAACCCAACATGGAAAAGGGCAGAAAAACAAGAAAACCTTAAAAGTTTTTGCAAAAAACCAAGTTCACTGCAGTACCTATGAACATTGGCACCCAGCAACTTAAGCAGTTGATGAGCACTGGAATCAGATCGAMCACATTGAAAAACTGAGGCAGAAAAATTCTTTCTTAGGAACCTTGAAACAAATCTCCAACCAGAAGCAGTGGAAATGCGGATGAGAGGAGCAGCAGCCCACAGAGACGTCCCCACTGCACCTCTACCCACACGTGGGAGAGACACGTGTCTGTGGTGAGGACAACGAACCTTTGTTTGTTAGACTCCCACAAAGGTAAAACACAAGTTATTTTAAGCTCTACTTCTACAATACTTGCTTTCCCTCACATTAAAAACATCAAAGTAGAAGCCTTCTGTCACTCGGGAATACAAGCAAAGCTTAAAATATAACAGAAAGGTAAAGGTTGATTTAACTGTGGATCAGACAAAATGTCATTTAAGGTCAAGTAGCAAAAGAGAAAAGTCACAAAGAAAACAAGAGACCAGAAGCCCCTTCCCTTGGCCTGCCTTGTCCCTAACCACCGGTCAGCACCGCGCTTCCAGAGCCAGGCGAAATGCTTAGGAATTCCGGGAGCCTAAAAATCCCAGGGTAGGTGACAAAAACCTACGCATTACAACAGATAGATTACATTCTCTTTTCCTTGTGGAAAAACAATACTTYTTTTTTTCCCCAGCATCTAAAGTCTGCTACACACCTAAGGCATCCAAATCTAAGTAGATTGCATGGAAATATATAATTTAGGCTTCTGTGCAACACAGTTTTGGATTTCCTCTCTTGCTTGGAATGGCAGCCTGCATTCAATATGGGTTGTAGCATTTATGGTAGCTGTGAAGGCAGCTGCTCTGGAAAGGAGAGGAAGCCATTCCAGCTCCTCTTGCAGAACTAAAGCAACACATGAGGGACATTAAAAATGTCAAAGATAATTTGGAAAAATCATTCAGAATTAAATTCAGAATTAAATTTAGAAGTACACATACRGGCATCTGAACCTCCAGAGTCTGGTTGAGCCAGCAGGTCATGTGGATGGAGGCATCCAAATCAGGGTGGAAGCCTCCTAATGGCTTTTACTTAGATTTCACAGTGTAACTCCGTGCTTCGGAGCTTATGCCCGGAGAACCACAGCCATGAAACAGAGACTATTTGTCTCCAACAGAGGGGGGCTTGGTTCCCAAAGACACTGTGACGCAGGATTCAACGCTCTGGGTGTCCCTGCTGGAGCAGGGATGTTGG